TAAAGCTTTAGTGTTTTATGTGTGTACTACAAAATAACCAATACTTTAAGTAGGTAAACATTCAATCATGCTTACAATGAAACGTACGTACAAGAACATTACCTAATCTATGGTCGAAATGAATTAATTGCATTGTGTTCTTATATTTATTCTAAAACATATTGTTTTACAGTTTCCTTATTCCCGACTTCTAAAAATATACTAAAATATTTTGATAACTAGGCATAAACTAAAACGAAAAATAATACTAACAAAATCCATGAACGGCTCTTTGTTGATTTGATTATTATTGGGTCAGCTATCGCCATCCTTCTTTGGTTAATAATTAAGGACTGAATTGAATAAATTGACATTTGTTATGAAAGTATGGGTAGTAATAGATGGCACATTAAACGAAATCGGCAATCCATAAACTGCCTGAATATAAATTATTATATTGTATATTGCTAGTAACAATATGTAATGCAACCAGCTGAACACGGCATGCTATCTGCTCCTGCCTTATCGGATATCCTCTAGCACCATCATTAATTCTCCAGTTTCCGGTATTCTTGGTCAAATACATGAATAAATTGATGATTTGTGATGATCGCCAAATAAATTGTGAGAGTTTGTTCACAGACGGTATATAAAATCGTAGGTCTCCCTTGTAAAACTTACTATTATCAAACACGGACTGGAGGAATTGGTCAAGACTCATTTAGTTTTCTTGGAAAAGACGCGTCCAGGCTAACCATTGCTCTTGAACTCCTTAAAGTATTTGCAGATGGTATGTATGTAACCTACGTAATTTAGGGTCCATGAAATTATACGCTCCAGGAAATGTCACAGAAGCGCCGCTGTGATACGAGCAAAACGTCTTTGGACTCATTACCCGACGGGTCCGATGAAGAACATTACTTTTTCTTATTTTGTTAAAACGGAGGAAGAAAAAATTAAAATTAATAAAAAAATATAAGGAATCTGTTCGGAAATATTATTTCGCCACAATAATCAGAAAAGATGGATTTGTAAACCTGTACTAATCATTAATTCGTTCAACTTTCATCAATTTGGTTTTCATTCAGATTGGTCAAGCAAATAAACATATGCGCCATGCTAGACATGACTGCAAACTGCAACTAAGGCTTGCGCCTTACGCAACTATGTCGCTGCAACTCCAGGGCTTCCTCAAGCGTCTAATTTCAATGCGCCCCTAGGCTAAGAATTGTATTTATTTTTTAGCAGCAAACCAGGTAGTGTAGTGGACAAGTTTATTAATTAAATCGCACCCTATAACTAATAGTTTCTTATAACTTGCTGCTGGCAAAATGCTTTCTGAATTTGTGTGATAGGTTTTATACAAGAAAACTTAATACAGTTTCTCGCCAAACTGAGAAAACAGTTGGTTGGCGAGGTTATCTTCACAATCATAAAATTATAGTACATCTAGTACGAATACATTTATCAAAACCAGTATAAACTTTTACTAAATTTACATGCTTTCAAGAAGTATAAATTTTTTTCTTTAAAGTGAATTAACTCTGCCTGTCAAAACATCAAATATGTTAAATAAAAAAAGTCTACATATTTGTTTTTGTTGTTTACTTTTGGACATACATATTTATTTTCACGGGGTCGCCTAGTATTATACTTGTTGGTTACATTAATATTAAATCCAGTTTTATAATAGTTTTAAATAGCAGCCAAATATTGCCCTTATACTTTTAAAGGAAGTATTTCACAGAAGGTCATAGTCTCCCTTACAACCTATACATGTATTTGCGACATTCTAAATATTTAAAAAATCTATTTCGTAGGATTTTTACGTCACTAAGGTATGATTGAAACTTATTACAGGCCTACTGGTTAACTCAGCCGGTTTCTGGGATAGAGAAGTGATAGTTTACGTAACAGTTACGTATACATGTGAACAGTAGCAGCAGAAAGCCTTGTGAAAGCGTTCGTCCAGGGAAGTACCTTCTACCACCAAGCAGTATCTGAGCATTACTGCGTTTCGGTTTCGAAGGGTAAGGGTGCTGGTGAAATTACAGGCACATGGGACTTGTCAACTTGTCTCAGGGTAACGGGCGCAGTGGCAGTGCCCCTCAGATCTTTGCGATTCAAAGCTCTGAGTGGTACTGCAACTGTTATGGATAGGCGTTTAGCTTACCATCAGGCTTACGACTTGTTCGTCCTATCACTTGATAAGAGAAAGTGCCTACCAAAATTTACTTAATTGTTGTTATGTGAAATGACAATAAAAAAACTATTTAATTGATAATTGAAATGAATAGACAAGCCATTTGGTACTTTGTTTAATTAACTTTTTATTGAATATCAGAAAAATTTTGTTGAAATTATCTCGTGTGCAGCGCTACGTAATTGTTACGTAAACTCCTTCTGCACCGCGCAGTTACCTCAGGAACCGACTTAGTTAAGGGTTCACCTGGGTGGAACACGGTCAATTTTTTCTTCCCGTGGTTCACCTATGTCCACCTGGGTGAACCATGGGCAATTATTTCTTCTCGTGGTTCACCTAGGGATTTTTAATTTCCTGTGAGTCACCTTGCCACTAGTATGTTCAGGATATCTATATTACATATTTCGGGATATACTGTACAGTGTACTTTGTGGATTTCTGTTCTTATAAAGAATTTGGAAGAAAATGCTATAACAAAACGTAAAATCCATTTTATTAAAAAATTTACGAGTTGAGAGTTGCGAGTATTAGATTTACCATTTCTTTCACCTTATAAGTATGTATAATTTGGTAATTGAGTTTTGATATTTGGTGTAGTTATAAAAATAAACAATTTATTTATTGCACTCACCGTAGGCACCTATATAACTGCGTCAATAAGAGAAATCCAGGGGATGCCTTTGATTTACAGACTGATAATGAAAATAATGTTGATTGTTACAGAGATAAATAAAAAAAAGAATGATTCAATAGTGGATGTAGATCCGCAACTCTATCGTCACTATCGATTATTAGAGTTAACACAAAATTTCGAAGATTGTGATGCGGTTCAGGAGATTTTTGAAAAACATTTGAATGATACTTGCAACCCAGTGCTCGAGGTAATTATGATAGTACTAACAGACCATCTTCATTACTAACGGTAAGGCATGAGCTTCGCATATTTAACTGATTAAATCCTCCTAATCCTATATTACTATTGTAATTATCATTATGGTTCTCCACAGGTCTCTTGACTCCGTTCAATGAGAATTGCAAAACTCCAGACATAAAAACGGCGCATCCGTTGTTAGGAGAACTTATAAACTACCTTTATAACTGTATTTAAACTATAAACACTGTAGACAAACATCATTTATACGTAGATTACATAAATAAAAAAGAGGAAACAGTATATAAATAGATTTGTCAGTATCCGTTACAATTTTTACTGAGCACGCTATAACACCTTCATCACTCTTTATCCCCCTTATACGCCATCCTAAATGTTTTATCATCACGTCAAAAAGAATGTTCATTATTCAAGGTTGTGTTGAAAATTTACACCTACCCAAAGACGCAAGTTACGTAAGTGAATCAATATAAACGAAACTGTAAAGGATATTTTGCAGTTGGCCGGTGATGGTCTTGCCTGCCCCACCAGAAAAAAGGGCAAATAAAATAAACTTAAAACTAAGTAGCGGGCCTGAGGGCGCCCAAGTGAGCACGGATCTCAGCTCAGGGTGTTACTGAAGACTTCCGCCAGAAGGGTGTACGTGTGAAATGACGGGTGAGGACGGTTGGTGCGTCTGGAGATGGACTGTTTGCGATCTGGTTGGCCTTCAAAGTGGCGAAAGTGATAGGGTTGTCAGAGTCGTTGACGACTTCCCTTGGCCGATGGGTCTTACGTACGAGGTGGGGGTATTCCCTGAGGAGGTCGTAATTGGAGGGGTTGGGGTGGTGAGGAGCAGAGTCGAAATATTTATTAAAAAAAAAAGAGTTTTGACCCTGCACGCAGTATATTGATACGTGCAGGTTCCCAATCGTAGAGGTATTGATGGGAGATGGGAGGAGTGGGAGAAGCCGTCGAGAGGCTCCGCTACCTTCCGTCGTGTCTCCGTTGCACAGCGCATTGTTATAAAGTTTCTCTCTCGACTAAGGACTAAGGATGGTTTCGCGGTGTACGGATAAACCTATTCAGCTTTTTGTTGTACCGCTATATTAATTTTTAAGTTTTCGTTTTGTAAAAAATTTAATAATAAAAAAAGGACTAAATAGTTCAAGAAAGGACACCTTCAAGAGTACCAGTCTTTTACTCATCCTAAGCAATACTTGGAGGGTCTTGGGCACATGGAGAATGAGAGCCATGATTGCCGGCCACATTTGTATTTCTAAAGTCAAATAAAGTCTCTCAGTCAGTCTCTCAGTTTAGATCGATAATAGTTAGTCAAATCATTCACTTTAGTCTGGGGTAATTATACACTCGGCCAAATCTCAAATTCAAACTGAATTGGAGAACGAAGAATTTTAAATTTACGTACATTCGCTGTAACTCAAGTCCTTGAGCTTATTTCTAATGATGTTTTATTGTTTGTTATTAGGGTTTGACGCACCAGATAATTAGCGGTACTTTGATCCTATATTGCATCACAGCAGCGCTGATTCTGGGATGTCGCTTGAGGTATGTCAATAGAAAATACGGTAAGTGCTTTGTACGCTGGAAAATTAACTTTAAAATCAAATTATATAGGTATATTTTCTATTCGTTATCGTCAATTTTATTGCCAAGCGCAAAATACTGTGTAAAATACTCAGCGAGCCTACCCACCTCAGACAGTTGACAGTGCTAATTTTGTAACAGGTTTACGGAAATCTTTATGTTGTTGGTAAGCTTGTCGCTTACCTTCCGCTACTTTGCATGGTCTTGACAAACCTCTCCTTTTTATATAAGCCCTCTTATTCTTGTCACTAAGAACATCGATTTGATCTGAATCCGTTCATCGTATCCGTGCTCTTCCAATGTTGGCTTCCACGTTGGATTTATCGCCACTGCACTTTCATTCCACTTTTTCTCCGTGTGCCTAATCCACCTCAACACTTCTTCTTACTACTCTGTTTTATCAATTGTCCTCTTTTAAACCACATTGTTCACGGATCACAGTATTTATCACTTTATCTCATAACCGTTTATTACAATTTTTCTGAGATGCCAAATTTTTACTAAAATTTCAAACGAGGAAATCACGAAAAAACGACTTAAAAGGCAATCGGGGTATAATGAATGGACCTGCAAATACCTTTATCGCATTAATTCCCGTTTGCTATGAACTATCATATAATGCAACGCAGAAGTTGAAAAGCCTAGCGCAGATCACATTTTAATTAGATTCATTCAGTGGTTCTTCCGCAATACCCTATACTCACTCTTATTGGAACTAAACAGCATTATGTACCACCATTCTTGCCTTGTCAGCGCGAAACGTCTGCATATTAATCCATTTACGTTCCCAACATAAGCAAAATATTACTAGATTGAAATTATCAGCTTTATTCTGAACACCATAATATGCATAATTTGTTTCCGCCTTCCCCTTTTCATCATCAGGGGACTAGATGTGGGCTGGGATTCCACCCCTATGTTGTAGATATTCCCAGAATTCCCACGAGGCATTTCGCTTCCACATTTATATGGCGAGTGGCTAGAGAGCGGAATTCCCTATCTGTGGATTTATTCCCAAACACTATCATTTGGACCTTTCAAGGCGAGAGTAAATAAGCTTTATTTAGGTGTGCATGCTGCATCATCGACCTCAGCATCACTTTCCATCAGGTGATATGAAGGTGAAATGTGTTCTTACTTTTTTTTAAAGTAATAATTTAGTTACTACTTTACCTCATTAAATTTGGTACACTAATCACCGGTATCAATATCAAGCTGTGGTATTAAGTTGCGACTGCTTTCACAAAAAGTTGTGTTGATATCGACCAATTGTAGTTTGAAAGAATCCACCCATTCATAAACCTTGCCAATTCGACCTTTGGACGAAAATGCACAGGGACAAGCGTTTTTAGAATGGTGATACAACGACTGGACGGAACCGCAGTGCTTTTGTACATATGTTATAGATAATTTTCGTCCAATATATACACACATTTTGCGTTAGCATTCCCACAAAAATTGATATAATAATGAAAATTTTAAGGTGAACAAAAAATTAAGATTATTTTTTATTAAAAAAAATTCCAATTTCAGACGTGTTCAGAATGCAGTATTGTGCAGAGATATTGGTTATGAGTAAGTACAGTCTACAATACTTTAAATCTTAGTAAACGATATTCATATACTTTATTACTTTTTGTTGTCGTCGCCGAAGACTGTTGCTGGCTATACTAAGCTATTGCTTTACGTAAGCGTGAACGTTTGCTTTACATTCAAACTCGTGCATGTAAGTTTCTCGACTTATCTATCTAATAGCCCACCATCTCACCTACTGTAAAGTTAGTGGTCAACTTATACTGTTTATACCAAGAACAATTACTAAAAGTACGTAATCATAGTAAAAGTCAATATTTGTCTCAAAAACTACTAGTATATACGAGATAAATTCTCAATTTTAAAAAACAAAAAACTTGGTCGTAGTAAATATTAACCATCTGGAGAACAGAAACAAATAAACCTCTTCCCCTGACACGTTACTTCCAACTCCCGTCTTGACGCTACTTTGCAAACACCACCTACACTACCTGGCTGTGACTCGGAAATGCCCGAACCGTCAAAAAGAGGTGTTGAAGACTTTACGCAAATTAGACGTCAACAAAGCCAGTGGCCCTGACGGAATCCCAGCGATTGTTCTGCGAAACTGTGCACCCGAGTTATCTCCGGTGTTGACTCGCCTGTATTGCCTCTCTTTGAGTTCTGAACTAGTCCCGAAAACCTGGAAGCTTGCAAATGTACAGCCTGTACCTAAGAAAGGTAGTCATACCGACCCATCTAATTATCGACCTATTGCAATCACCTCCATACTCTGTAAGACTTTGGAGCGTGTATTGAATACCCGTCTCCTTGGATACCTCGAAGATAACGATCTTTTCAGTGATCAACAGTATGGTTTTCCCCGTGGTCGATCTACTGGGAATCTTCTTGCGTGTGCCACATATTTATGGGGCGAGGCTGTCGAGAAACGCGGTGGATCGCTTGCTGTGTGTCTCAACATATCAAAGGCCTTTGATAGGGTTTGGCACGATAAATTGTTAAACGAGCTTCCAGCTTACGGAATTCCTGTTTGCTTTTGCACATGGATAGGCGATTTTCTGAAGGATAGGTCAATCTGTGTAGTTGTAGATGGTTACTCCTCTGTTCGTCATGGTATAAATGCCGGTATACCTCATGGATCTGTCCTCTCCGCCACTCTATTTTTGCTGTATATCAACGACCTGCTGCTGATGCCCGGTACCTTTGGGTACGCAGACAGCACAGTGGTAGAGAGTAATGTGCCAGACGCCCGAGATAACAGCGAAGAGATCTGGTGTAAAGGAGAGAAGATGGTCACCCGGTTGAACCTGAGCTTGAAAGCGACTTCCGACTGGGGAGATGTGAACAGGGTCAGGTTTAATGCGGCTAAAACACAGGCGTGTCTTTTCACGTCAAATCTGAGTCCTTTACACCTTATTCCGACTTTCCGAGATGCATCCGTGCCGATAAGGGACCACCTTGAGCTACTTGTTCTGGACTTATCAACCAACCTCAACTTTGGGCGATACATCGAGTGCTTGGCAAAAACTGCTGCCAGAAAACTAGGCATACTTTATAAGGTCAGGCGGTACTTCACACCTGAACAGCTTTTAAATCTGTATAAAGCACAAGTTCGATCGTGTATGGAGTACTGCTGCCACCTTTGGAACGGCTCTGCCCATTACCAGTTAACTGCCTTGGACTTAGTGGAGCGAAAAGCAAAGAGGCTTATTAACAACAATTCTCTTATAGAGTCAAAGCTACAAAATCTCGACCATCGCAGAAAAGTAGCCTGCTTGTCGGTTTTCTGTCGGATACATTACTTTTATCTATTTTGAAGAATACCTACGGCACGTATACAAAAATATGGTAAGCATATAACATCGTCTTAAAACTTCCATTCTGCCTTGGATTTACAACGTGTCTGTTGGATTCCTCTTTCGTCAGATCATTTATTTTTTCCAGGACTAAATATCGGAAACCATAAGCGGAAATTGGATCAAAGCGACCATAAGATGAAAAGCGGTCAAGCTTGAGCAATCAAATTTAAACTCATTGATATTGTTTATCGTAGAAGCATTTATCCTGCGGTCTCCTCAGGCATCATATGCCTCTTTATCTTCGTTATTGTCGCTTGGCAAATGTAGGGCCTCGTGAGCACTTTAGATAATTACAAAATTTATAATTAGTTTCTTTTAAAAAAGTATGTGAGTAATTTAATAATTATGCTTTGGTCATAATCAATGTCATTTGACTGAGATTCGAATCTTCACTACATGGACGCTAGTAACACATTGCCTTTTTTTGTATATAAGATCATTGATCAAAACTTAATTTCCTTGGGTGCTATTGATTGTTTTATGTATATCTGATAACAAAAAGGATTTACCTATAAAATTGCCGTTTTGTATAAGAAAATTTACGTATATCGATTTTGTTAGAAAAAAAGCTTATCAAAATATTTGCCTAAACCAAGCAAATTGGTAAAATCTTTAAAGGAGTGAAGAACTCTTCACTGCTGCTTTAGAATTGAAGTTTTTACCTCACAAGAAGTTATCTAAACTCCAAAAAAAGTGAAAGTTTGTCGGATGAATTATGGTGAATGAAAAAGAGTCTCCAGCTCCCTCTCGAAATTTTACCAACGTCTGTAGTGCAGTGTGAGGTCGGGCGTTATTCGTTTCGTTGTCATGTAGAAGCAATGACGATGAGTAGTTTCCAAGACTCGGTTATTTGACTACAGGCTCCTTTACCATTTTGTCTAACGGTTCACAATAACGATCAGTAGTTATTACTAGTCCGCTGAACTAACCACTGTAACGATCATTTACGATTATAGTATAGGATCCACCACCTGCTGCAGGAAACAATTCAATTCAAAATTTCCTCGTTTCTACGTCAGTTCAACAATCTAGTACCGACTGCAACTCGGACTTGTCACTGTTTCGCTTAGTTCATGGAGTACCCATTTGTCAAGCTTCTTTAGATTAAGACCTTTTTAAAGGCGTGAGTGAATAGACATTATTTAGGTATGCATGCTACAACGTCGACCTCATCGTCACTTTCCTTCAGCTGAGATGGAGGTTAAATGCGCACTTACTCTTTATATATAAAAAAAAATTTAATTTGCCGCAAATGGTCCAGCATTGTTTTGACACTTACATCTAAAGTCGATGCTAGCTCAGCGGTGGTTTGAGTTGAATCCGTTTCCACAGCATTGCTGTAAATTTATCATTATCAACTTTAATCTCTGGATGTCCACGAGGTTTGTTTGCGAGATCAAATTTCCAGAACTAAAACGGTTGTACTACTAACCAAAAACGAAAAAAGCAAATGAGTAGTCGTATTTGAAAATGGGTAAATAAAATTGATTTGAATTTAAAACATATCAAACTACAGATACGCCAATTAAAGAGGCCAGTTCGACAGTACGTCAATGTCATAAGTAAAGAGCTAATATTTATGTAAAATTTGTTCAAATACGTAGTTATATGAGTGCAAATGATAATTTGATTTTGTAATAAATTGGTTAATTGTTTTAATTTAAACAATTAACCAATTTATTACAAATTTATAAAATCCACGATACAAAAGCGAGTTTAATGTTGTTGATAAATTCAAATAAAAATTTATACCGCTCTTGCCGATGTATTTATTACTATTTTTTGTTTTTATTTATGCCTGTTCTGTCTCACGGATGAGCAGAAGCCTCCCCTTCTTTTAAAATTATAACTAATATCTGCTGTCTTAATAGATTTGTGCTCGGGCCACACAGAGACGGCTGACGCACGCCCGCCGCGCGTTTCAGCGTGGCAGGGTTCATTATGAACTCGTACATTACAAAAATTTGCGCGCCCGGAACGCTTCCGCGGCCGCCGCTGACCAGAGCATTAACGTCAATGTAACCGCTTTGAATTGGCTTCCGTTACGGGGCAGTAGTGTATCTAAACATACAAGTATTATATTTTTGGTTTTATTTGGATTCTTACTATAATGAAGGGAATCAGATGTTGATTGTAGTCTCCACAAACGAATGTCGTTTTGTTTTCATACTTCAGTCGTTTCCTTAGTGCTGGGGATCGTAATTTAGATCATTTTGGTCCGGATTATATTTTGCTGCGTATTGCGATTCTGTGTCAGATATGACCTCACTCTCCTCGATTCTTCAAAGAAATTGTCTTCTCTTTTTGTACCACGTGTTCGTAATATTTTATCCACTTGATGTTAGATACTCAACTCCTCCAAAATGTATTCACTAAATTTGATTCAAGAAACGGTAAGCTCAACGCCAACATCACAAACGCTTCGGTACTCAGTTTTTAAGTTGTGTTAATCTGAACCTCAGATTTGAGGATTGAATTATTTTGTTTTATAGACAATTTGAGCCTAGACCACTACGCTGGCTCAATGCGGGATGGGAATTTCACACTTTTTCCAAGGGATGTGAATTTTCTTCTACGTACATTAACTAGTACTTAGTACTTTGCCCTGCAGTGGGTCAGTAATGGCTGAAAAATGAAATGAAAATGAAATTAAATGCACATGTTGTTGTATCATTATGTTTTCCTTCATCTTTAACATGAGATATGTGTCGATTATTATAAAAGTGGTGTAAGTCCATGTTTTGAAACACATTTTTTTTTGCTTAATATTATATAATATATAACATTTACTCATATCTGTCATTATAAAAGTGAAGTAACACCAGTAATTGCACTAACAACCCATAGATGGCATTGCTAGTTTAGTCAGAGAATTAAAATTACTACACATTACGTAATTTGCTAAAAGCTTCTTATTTCAAAATATCATATATTTAACTAGGATGGCCACATTTTAGGGGCGGCCAATCGTGACAAAAAATTCACTGATGGTAACAGGAAATAAATCAAAATACCTAAATATTCTAAAGGCTAACGCACATTATGGCGGGCCGCAATGCACCGCATCTTATAACAATAATCTTCCTAAACCACTTTCGTACATTTTGTGTATAAAGTATGGATATGTTACATATCTATAATGTAATGTATAATCACTACATCACTACGTCTGTCTGATCGCGATAAACTGAAAAACTTCTGAACGAATGTTGGTACTGACTACATGGCATGGGGCCTAGGGCGAAGAAGACTGCAAATCTGCCACTGCGTATTGCAATTAAGAGAACTGAAAAGAAACTGTTCTACCAACTGTTCAACAACCTGTTCTAGATATTAATCAGTGGAAGAACATTTGCTTCTAAATTCATCGTGTTGTTATTCGAATGTGGTTGTTACGTCAACGCTAGGGTATCCAAGTTCGCCAGAAACATCCAAATTAAAAACTGATTTTGTTTTTCTTCTAGGCAGCCATATATGGTAAGAATACTGTGTTTGGCAAAAAGAATATACAAAGCTCTGCGGAACATACGTCAGACCATTCGTAAAGTAAAAAGAAAAATCCGTCAGATATCCGTAATTATATTTAACTGCATCAAGGCTGTAATGAAATGTTTATTCGCTACAATCAAATGCACATTTCTCGTATTGAAAGATATAGCTCTTGACATTTATGCAATCTATGTAGCTATCTCTAGAGGTATAAATACGACAGTTACATTCATCCAGAATAGTCCAGATTTAGCAAAGAAAGCGTTTAATGATATGAGACGTAGTTTTTCTAAATCCGAATCTGATATCGAATCTGATACCGAATTACCTGAACCCAAACCTGAACCCAAACCTGAACCTGGAACGAAATGTAAATCTGAATGTAAAGCTACATGTGGTACTGTCGATGATGATGATGAAGACGACGATGATGACGATGATGATGAGGATGAGGACGACGAAGAAGATGATTGTACGCCACCTAAGCGACCTGAACCATCAACCGATGGAGCAACCGCTCCAGTACTAACTAATTGGCTAAAGAATGTTTTCCAACTACGCAAGAAACTACCAGCTTTAAAGAAACACGTGGTTACACAAACTAAAGCCGAAGCACAGAAATCCAAAATGTGCTATTTAAAATATAAGCCGCGAATGCAGAAAATTGTGCAAAGGTATTTGATGGTTTATGCCATTGACTTACAAATAAATGGACGACGGGTCTAATACAAAAACCACGAAAAAAATGTCCCAAGTCAACCTATTCAAAATTTAAATTGTAATGTCATCGCCGTATCGCGCTGTCAGTAGAACAAATGAAGACTAAAGCGGAGTTTGGCGCTCTGTATACGATTTTAGCGCCTTACAAGTGCGGACACTTTTTAGCGCGGACCCGACGTCCATATAATTGTAAGTCAATGGTTTATGCACTTATAATAATTATAATAACTCCTAAACTATAAGAGTAAGTAACTTTGACCGCTAATTTGTATTTCTCGTTTCTCCAAATGTCTCGGTTATGTTGTTTTCAATACTTAGATATCTAACAGCAGTAGAGCAAAAGATGACGATAGCGATAGTGTTCATACGAAGCTTAGAAAAATTAATTCATTTGACAATGCTCATGGAAATTTATGCATTTAATTTTGGAATAGTCGTCTTCATGTTGTAGAGTGTAGTTCATTAAGTGACTTGCATAAAATTTGTTGCAGTTACAAAAGACGCCGCGATAACGGTATAGGGCCAAGACCACGGCGAAAATGCTATCGACGCAGGTAAGTAGAATAAGAATTCGACAAGCTTTTAATGACAGTTAAACTTTCGCACAAAAATCGTTAACATAAAATGTTCTTCATAATTTATGTCTAAGAGAGCATTTGCGTACTACGTCCGATTCGTATAAGTTCCGAGTCACAGGGATCATTTTTATCTCCAGGTGTGCAAGCGATATTCGTGTGTTCTCGGTTTTGAATCGGACTTAGTGCACAAGCGACATCCGAAATGGGGCCGAGTTTTCTAGATTTGTATAGACGAATATGAATCGGATGCATTGATGTTTTGATTAAGCTTAGCACATCAATTTTGAACCTTTCTTTTGACATGAAAATATAAAAATAACGAAATACTATTAATATAGTCGCTGAAATGGCTCTTCCCCGATTTTCCCGTTTAGATTGTATTTGTAGGTAAACTAGACAAAATCATTTATTTCATATTATCAATTTCATAATATCACAATTCGAAATATAATGTCAAGGGATAACATGATCGTCATCCAGGTAAATAATAATTTTAATGTAAATATAAAATAATTAAAAGAGAAATAGAAAAAAATACGAACTACAAAAATACAAATAAAAATTTCAATATTTTCAAAATACAAAAAATTCAATCCAAAATTAAAAATATAATTACAAGTTCTTTAAAAGAAATTCCTCTACACTGTAGAATTGCTAACGAAACGAAATGAAACGTGCTGGCTAATCGCGCATGTGAGGTAGGATCGTTGGTCATTAAAGAGAATTCTTTTGCTGTATAATGGATAAAATCTTTGGCAAAGGACTATTATGGCAAATACATAACACAAATACTTTGGACACAAATACTGGAATGTTTGCCAAAATGTTGCGTATATTAAAGGTGTGCATACTCGTTGAACATTAATACGTGAATATGGACACATATTTCTCAAAACCTAATACAAACATTCATCTACAGTAAGAAATACTACATAAATAAACATATGAGAATAAATTCATATTTACACAATGCTGTTGCTTAGTCTTAAAATAATGTTGTGAAATAATTATGCCACACATACATCAACAATAATTGGGACTTAAATTTTGTTGTTTTTTTAAACGTAAGTTGTCAGAAATATTTGAAGATAAATTAAAATTAAGACAAATAGATAAAGATAAATTTACTTCATTATAACTTAACCTAAATACAAGTAAAATACATGTAAAGAAATGTTTATGTTATAATAAATTTAAAAAATAAAAATATATTTAATATTGTACACGACGTACAAGAAATATTCATAACCTCGCTTTGCCACTAGATGGCGTTGGGATCAAAATAGAATGCGCTATCGAAATGTTTACAAAATTACCATTTAAGTTGTAAAATGTAATTGCATTGTATCGAATCATAGGGCCTATCCGCTCACGCGATGCGCTCCTCCTACCGCAAAATGGCGGCTATTTGGTTTCGCAAATTAGAAAAGCAATCAGTTTAAATACAAGTTTTTATAAATAAAAATTATTATTCTGCATTGCTAAATAAATACCCTCCGTACTACCAACAAAAACATCTCAAATAAAATGCAGTAATATACCGCAAATCCTGCACTTAAAAAGCACTAATGAAATTTTTGGTGTACATGGATAAAATATGATAATATTCCGTTTGAGTGGTTCTAACGTTTACCATGAAATTACTCCTTAAAGTATAGTTTATAAACATTTATATTCAGGGTAAACTTAAAAAACGCTACTTACGGTATATTTTCAATAAATAAACACCGAAATCACCAGCCCAAACAATAACACTCACGATTGTCGTGACGTATTTTTGGAGTTGTTTATTTTTTTTAAATGACAGACCCAGGCATTAAAAACTTTATGGTTTGCTAGAGTAGTTACCGAAATAGCAATTAATATTAGTT